ACCATGGAGAAGTTCGGGATGAACTTCGGGGGCGGCCCCAGCCGCAAGGAGCTGCTGGAGACCATCGAGACGCAGAAGCAGCAGCTCCTGCGCTTCCAGGCGCGGCTCAAGGACGTGGTCCGCGCCTACAAGAGCCTCCTGAAGGARAAGGAAGCGCTGGAAGCCAGCCTGAAAGTGCTCTCCGTGTCCCACGATGGTGACCTGGCGGTGTCACCGCCCGGGGCYGGGGACTGCCCGGACGACCGGAGCTCGGAGCACAGCGAGGACAGCGTGGGGACGGCCACCAGCACGGACACGGTGGCCAGCCTGACCAGCGTGACCAGCGCCAAGGGGGATGTGGCACCCGAGGAGGACAAACCTGCAGCTCCCCCCTTTCAGAAAGCAGAGGACACGGGCGGCTCTGACAGCGGCGATGTCTGCGGCGGCGGCGAGGCCGACCGGCGGCTCGTGCAGCTGAAGGGCCAGCTAGCCACGCTGACCGGCGCGCTGGCCACCGTCACGCAGGAGAAATCCCGCATGGAAGCCTCGTACCAGGCGGAGCGGCGGCAGATGAAGCAGGAGCTGGAGGAGGCRGCGGGGCGCGCGCGGGACGAGGCGGAGCGGCAGGACGCCGAGCTGCGGCGGCTGCAGGAGCAGCTGGCCGAGACCAGAGCCCGCCTCATCACGCAGCAGCACGAGCGCGAGCGCGAGCAGGGCGACCACGGGCTGATGCTGCGCGAGCTGCAGGAGCTGCTGCGCTCCGAGCGCGAGGCGCGCCGCSACGCCGAGAGAGAGCTGCAGGAATCCCGGGAGGCGCTGGCCGGCAGCGAGCGAGCCCAGGGCTACCAGCAGCACGTCAGGCARCTGAGCCAGGAGCTGGAGGAGCTGCGCAGGGAGCTGCGGGGAGTGCGTGAGGAGAACGGCAGGCCCGACCCGCGCATCCAGGAGCTGCAGGAGGAGATGGCCGGCCTCAAGAACCACTTCCAGYTGCAGCTGGTGCAGGAGATGAAGAAGGTGGTTTTTCTGGCTGGGAATGGGGCAGGGTTTGGGGCTGGAGSAGCCAGTTCTGTCTCCTGGTTCCTYAGRGAAYAGAGCATCCTGGCTKGGATTGGTGGGATGGCAGTCCTGGGGTGTGTCCAGGGAGTGGGGCTGGAGGGGGACAAAT